TTCTCTGGGCAACCTGTTCCAGTGTCTCACCACCCTCACAGGGGAGAATTCCTTCCCAATATCCCATCTAACCTCCCCTCTGGCAGTGGGATGCCATTCCCTGTGTCCTGTCCCTCCATGCCTTGTCCCAAGTCCCTCTGCAGCTCTCTTGGAGCTCCTTTAGGCACTGGAAGGGTCTCTAAGGTCTCCCTGGAGCTTCTCCAGGCTGACACCCCCAACTCTCCCAGTCTGTCTCCCTAGCAGAGCTGCTCCAGCCCTCGAAGCATCTCCATGGCCTCCTCTGGACTTGCTCCAGCAGCTTCACATCCTTCTGCTGTTGGGAGCCCAGGGAAGAATTCCTTCCCAGCATCCCATCTCACCCTGCTCTCTAGCAGCATGAAGCCATTTCCCCTTGTTCCATCACACCCCTGTAAAACATCCCTCTCCAGCTCTCTGGAAAACAACGAGATGCCATTTGGACTCAAACCCAGCTGGTTGCTTCCAGCAGTTCTTGCTGCCCCAGTGACCCAGTTCAGCTGCTGTGGCACAGCAGGCACTGCTCAGGCCCTGCAGGACTCAGTGCAGCAGTGCTGGGCTCAGGAGGTCCCTGGGGCTGGCGATGACGATGCTCTTGCCCTCTCTGAGCAGCTGTGGCTGATGAGAGCAGTTGTAGCGCTCTGGAGCTGAGCCAGCCCTGCCCAGCCCTGCTGCGTGTCCCTGCCAGCCCTGCCTGGCTCTCCCTGGCCCTTGGAAGGACAGTCCTGTCTGGTGACACTGTGCTGCCACTTCTGAGCCTGCAGCCATTGATCACATCCTCCTGTTCTCACTTCTGTATGAGTTTTGATGTGAGGCTTCCATGTTTTAGCATTGTGTTTGAAGGCAGAACCATTCCAGGACTTCCTAATTATCCAAAATGAAGATATTTTGGAATGAAATAGGCCTTGTTGCTGCCCCCAGGGCAGGGAGCTCTCAAACCAGGGGATGTCTTCATTTTCCTGCCTTTAAAGGTCACTTCTGCAGGGCTTTATAATTGCAGTGAATGGAAAATAATAGGCTTTAAATAGGTGCTGGAAATGAGATGATTTACTTCAGTTCCATGGGTTGGGGTGTGTTGCTTGATGAAATATCCCTGAGGTATCTCCAGGAATGAAATCCTGACTGACACTGGACTGGAAAACCTCATATTTATTTATTTATAAGAGGAACTGTGGTAGATAATTCAAATCCTAATGAATTCAAGTGTATTTAAGAATCCTTGAGTAAAACAGACCAAGTGGTTTCCTATAAAAGTGGGAATTAGCTGTGTGAGGGAACTGGATTTTACCTCCACAAAGCAGTTGATCTCTATAGAATCAACAGAAATAATCCATAATGAATGAGAGGTGGAACAGTGCAAACTCATGGAGTTTAATCAAATGAAGTGCAAGGTCCTACATCATCTGGGCCCTGGCAATCCCAGGCAC